ACCATACCGGGGTCACGCCAACTTGGTCTTATTATACTTACATAAATTAATTATAGTTTTAAATTAGCAGAAAATAATCTATCTTCTATAAATACTCCTAAGGAAATTTTTATTTAGCAGCGAATAGACAAGCAAGTTGGTAAAACTCTCTTTCAATACGGGATTTTAAAATCATATTGCCCTTAACGTTTTACATTGCGGACGTTGCTGTTTTACTATTTTATAGATAGATTTTAAATTCAACTACTTGTTTTTCTTTGTAGCAAGCCTGTGCAGCAGGCCTCAGCCATTGACAAAGGAATAGAAAAAGCCGAATTTTACCATAAATATTATGGTATTTATGCAATTGCTAGTAAGTGTGACTTTGGGAAGGCAGAAGAAAAAGTGCAATAGAATGCAATTATCTAATATTGTAGCCACAAAGAAAAGCAAGGGGCGTTTTCAACAAACAGTTAAAAAATATACGAAAGAAATAATATTCTTAATGGGATCACATTTTTTTGATGACTTTAGATTAAACTTTAAGCCTTATTAGGATGTTTATGAACAATGCGGTAATATCCTGAAGAAAAATTAATTTTCGTAATTCCTGTAAAATTCCTTAACAGGCAGATATTCCAAGCAGATATATGTTATAACTTTTTAATAAAACTAGTGTTGAAGATATTTTCACAATTTATTTATTTAGTATTAAGTAAACAAAATTTATAATTCAAACATTAATTTATAAACTCGTGCATCAACTCTACGAAAGAAATTTCCAAGGATAACAGCTAGTGAGTAAATAACATATGATTGTATTGTATTTTGAAGGGTCAAGCAAGTTTATCACTACATCAATAAAATATGACTCCCAAGGAGTATTTCATCCAAATATACAAACGGCAATTGCAGATATAGTCAGCTGTTAGAACTTGTGGCTTTCGGAAATTCATAGTATTCAGAAAGCCCTTCCTTACTTTCAAAGACGGAATATAAGAAAATGGATTAGTAAGGTTGTATATAGGTTGGAACTATTATGTTACTTAAGCAAGTCTTATCAGATGGATAGTAAAATGCGTCAAAGGTTGGATTTTGAAAAGTGATTTTGTTTACTCCAACATATTCTTTATCTGTTCTTCAAACAGAGCAATCAGTAACATAACGCCCACTCCGGTCATGAGTCCCAGGTTTTGGATTACCAAGTGAGCTATGCGACTTTCGCCAGGCTTCACATCTGCCGAACTCAATTCGGGTAGCTACAAAGGTGATTGGAGTAAAAAAGAATGTTAAATTTATTACTGGCTTGTCTGTCGATAAAAGATTGCATAAAGGCCTTTGAGTGAATTAAAAAAAACAAGTCACAAAAAAATACTACCTTGAATCGTCAGGATGGAAATTTCTTTGGAGTCGGGTGAATACGATGCCCTTGGAAATTCCTTCAGATCTCAGATATGATAATTGAGTGTAGTCAACTGACTAACCAAAAGTGACTTTTTAAGTGTTGATTTTATACTTATGATATATATATATATATATATATATTCACCCTATTTCATTGAAGGGCAGGTAGTCGAGCTTTTAGTTCACAATAATATGGCTAGGCCTTAGGTCCTTATTAAGTTTAGCATAGCCTTTCTTCCCAACGGGTATTCTCATCCAGGATGGACTGTAGTTGCGACCTTCTCTAGTTCTCATCAGTAGTCCCAGCGGGACTCTAACCCTGGTAATGTAGCGTATAATCTCGACACATTAACCATTACGCCACACTGCCACAAGTGCCCTTGGATAACAGAGCAGACGTGAATTTCAAGGAAGGCTATGCCCTTTCCCATTTGAAATTCAGTGGCGAGATTTTCAATGAAGCAAAATTGTATTTGCTATGGGAATCAGCTACATTTATAAGCAGGTTTCCGAGACACAATTTGATCATATATATGAGAAGCTTTCATACTGCTTGCTCTGGATGTTATGATATTCCCTTTCTATCTGAACATTTTCAAACCTACCTTAGACCACATAAGATAGTAAAGTGGTGATAGATAATTTTTTCCACACTGGCATCGTGAGTTATACTAAAAAACCTGTAATAAAATTTAAGTAGCTGACTCCCATTACTTTATGCGACCTATGGTTATTACAGCTCTTAAGAAATGACACTTATTTCATTTTTAATGTAAAAATGCAAGCCTGACTCATTAAAAATCCCAATTTAAATATGATATGATGGAGACTTAATTTTTATTGAAAATTATTAGCCGCATATTAAAAATATACGCTACAATACTCGGGTTCGATTTACGTTGGGGGTACTCGGGAGAGACAGGCGAGGTTGAAACTGTAGCCAATCCTGCATAATAAAACGTATGAAACTCAAGGATTAGTAAAGTTAATTACCCAAGTTAGGTCTACTTATCAGTATGGGATATTTCAACAATCATTCCTTATTATTTTTTATGAATTAAAGTGACCTCAGCTCGTATTCAAGATCTTCCTAATAATTCTGAATATATCTAATATCCGTGCAATTTCACTTTTCTCCTTCTGCACATCATTTTATTAATAGAAGACAGCATCACTCCTCTACTGTATATTCGTTATCGTAATTAATTGCCAAAACAAGCTAATTTGTGAAGCCTCGAGATCATCACTATTTCTCTGATGGTTCTAATAATAAACTAGAAGAATGCCTTTTAGTATTTTAGGCAATTTATCATTCAAAACGAATTAGCACCCATTGAAATTTGAGAGGAAAATTGCCTAAATAATACAAGCTAAGTTCAATATAATTCCACAAGTGCAATTTATAGCTTTGTTTAAAATTTAACATTGTTAACTTCCCTTAAATAATTTTATTTTTAGATAATTTTCACAGGAACTACATTATCTCAATCATACCTGAACGCGTAATCTTTGCCCCACCCTGCAAAGTAACTTGTATACGTAAACTTGCATATGTCTTTATCTAAGTAGCAGCATAGCCGATGTCCTTGAAGTATTGCAAAATGAGCTTGTAACAACGAAAATAACCACATTAGTCTCTTGTTTATCTAATGTCTATGGCTGAGATCCAAACTACATCTTCGAAAGATTCTTGTTCCTTAAATAGCCACCATAGAAGGCATTTAGTGGCATCAGTATCGGATTTAGGATCTTCTCAGGAAGTTCCAATCTATGATTGGACCTCCCGTTCAGCTTAGGCTTAGCATCCATTGCAATAGACTACAAAGGTTTAATCACGTTGAGCTAACCGAGTTGACTCACTGGAGAGAAAGTTAGATAGCTCAATGAAAATAGGTCTCTTACGCAAGTATGGCTCAGGTAGACTGCCAGTATAAGGAATAATGTGGCTCCATAAAAGGCTAATTAATTGCACAAAACAAAGTCTATTTATAATCAGATGTAATATATTAAGGTGACACAAGGTTCACCCATCAAAAACGCACAATATTTTAAATAAAATACGTAAAAATCTTGTATATCAAACTGGCTAAAGGAGTCCATCTCGAAGATTATCCATTAAAATAACGCTGAAGAAGCAGTATCGTTAGTAATAAATTACTTCCCTTAATAAAAGATTCATTTAAAATATAATGTATCAATGAGATTCATAAGCTAACGATATTTCTTGAATTCATGCTATTTCTTACCATGTCAACCAATGCAATATAGATAAATGTTCCTGCGGTGAAGGCGAATATCCAGAGGCTAGCTGATTGAATGTTGCCGACGGCAATCCCCACTAACATTCCAACAAAGCTGAGAACTGAAGAGAGTATATTAAAGAAAAAGGCCTCCTTCAAGCGCATTCCCGTCTTCAAAAGAACAGCAAAATCACCTAAGATTGAAAATAATTTATGAAGGAGTGGATTTCATTAGAAAACGCGCTTTAAAATAAACGAATGCTGGCTATATTAGTTATGCAACATCATAAAATTTAATTTCGTAGAAGATATGAGGACCAAAATGTTGTGGCATCTGGTATGGTCGCAGCATCCTTTCGATTTATAGAAATGGGTTGACTTCGTTGTCGCACTTCTGATGCTGGGAATCATGACAACTACTATGGCAGACGACTTCGGATTAGGTGCGTTCTACTAAGTCGCCTTGACAAGAAGACCAAGTTGCGACAACAAGGTCAACCCAATTCTTAATTTCGCAGATTTTATATTAATAGCAGGCAATTCTCTCTTCCATTGCGATTTATCTAAATTTTTCGCAGACAAATCTATCTCAGAAGAATACTATCACTTGTAAACACCATCTGTTACTAGATATTCAGCAAGTGCGGTCGTTTATCATTCTTAGTATGTAACAAAACAAAACCGCTTTAGCAAAATAGATCAACTGTCCTTCCCTACCAGACTTATACATATATTTCTATATAAATTATCTAGACTTTAGTGTTTAAAAAGGCTTGAAAAGGCTTAACCAATTTGAGTAATTTGTAAGATAAAGTTTTTAAGATAAATCAACACAAATAGTACTCACCCAATTCATGAGGCAATTCGTGACAGAAAACGGCAACAGCCGTGCTTATCCCACCCGAGATACTTCCGGCAAATGCGACACCTTTAAAAAGAGAAAATAATAAGAGGAAGAATTATCGTATCATTGTCATATTGTTATGGAATACTAAATAAATGTCAGGGAATTTCAAACTATTAACTCATAATTTTATTATTTTTCATAAGAAATTTTATAGAAGGAAATCATTGTACAATTTGCCCATAAATAGCATTTAGGAAGAAAAGTAGGGTTTCAATGAAGCGCTTGGCTTACAATTGTTGGAATCATTTCCATTTTTGATGCGAGATGTAGAGATTTGAAGGATTTTTCCATCCAAAGGCAATGACAAATATTTCTTGACAAGCTGTCGTTTTACTTTATTGTGACATTCTGTTTGATGCTTTCCACGGAGAAATTTGCTTCAATACCAGCGAGAATATGCTAAGCTTATAATAGTCATATGATGGACATTATCAATGTAGGGCATCGTTCTTAAAAATAGCTCAGAATAATGAGTTTATAAAACCTACTGGCTTATCCCTACATGCTGCACATATACTAAAAACTTAGGCATCTTACAAGCGGGTCGATCTCGTTTTCGCAACTTGCTCTTGTTGTCTGGGCGACTTAGGAACGTCCTTCAAATTTCTTAGCATCAACCCCATCATACACTTTCACTCGAAATGGAATTTAGCTTAACATTTCCCTTAAACATTACTAGAATGCGTGTATTAATGCACTCGTTTTAAAATATTAAAAAGATGAATGTGGGTTACTGAAGAAAAGCAACTAATTTTAAGGCAAGTTAACTAAATGAAGTAAGGCCGCAATATACGTGCCATCAAAGGCTTGTGGAAGACTGAGAAATAGCGTCTTAAGTAAAACGTATACTGTGATTGTAACCAAATGAACTCCCTCAATCAGTAGGATAATAAACGAATCTCCAGGGTCATAATGGAGATTCGGATAAGAGGTCCAATTCAGATCAGCAATTCGGGCAAATCAGGAGGGAAAGAGAAAGGTAAACAAGCGGATGTGATAACGCCCAAGTAAACCCGCTAAATAGGGCACACCTATAGAGAATACAAATATAAACAGGTCAGCATTTGTGATAGAGAGGGAGGAAGATACGAGGATAAGATAGATGTACCAGGAGAGGAGTGATAAAACAACCCTTCGTCGGACATATGATCAAGGGATTGATTTCACTTGTCTCTTGGACGAGTTATTGCTTGGTCCTAAGACTGGCAAGATTCATCATTACGGGTGCTAAGGTAAAGATCAAGGTACATTTCCAATTCATTGTGTTGTTAGAACAGAGCTGAGGAGCACAATATCGGTGGGTGTCCAGTGAGTGTTTATTTGCGTGTCTTAATTCGTGTGAGCGGATTTATTGAGACTCAACTAGTGAGAAGCCTAACTAGGGAGGATACCAAGCCACATACACAAC